GGGACCATATGGGATGCTGGGAATCGAACCTGGGTCGGCTGCGTGCAAGGCAAATGCCCTACCCGCTGTGCTATCTCTCCAGCCCCGACATTCCTTGTTTTGATGGAGACTGATGAAGTTAAATTCCTTAGAAATAAAAGCAGCTTTGTCTACCACCAACAACAATAACTATCACAACAACTGGGAGTAGAAAGAAAACCAGCAAAAGAAAATCATCCAAACATTAGAAATTTCATTTTTTTTAAAAAGTACTAAAGATTATTTAAAATGAAGGTCAGGAAGATTAAAATTAAAGTAACAAGCAGACATTGCTTTAAACCCATTATGCTAGAAAAATGGAAATTAGCTATAGCCTATTGCTCATGGAGATAAGAAAAAGAGTCCTCTCAACATTTTTTTTTTTTTAGTACAAGTGTGAATTTTTGCAGTATCGTTCAAAAAAAAATCTGGCAACATGTTGAGTTAAGAAAAATATCTTATAGTCCTCTCACTTCCAGGATTCTCACCCAGAGATAGAAGTGCACTAGAACATAAGGAGTTGGGTCACAAAATTATAGTCACTCTTAACTTGAAAGGAATCTTGGCACAAAGACGAACCTGCTGTTACGTTTACGTCTTTAAAGCTTAAAAGCTTGCCCTTCTCAGCTCCTTAGATAAATTCTGCAAACTATTTTCTGTTTTGTCCCTAGTAACCCTCAAATCACCACCAAAGGGGCACCATAGGAAAACTGGAAGGTTGCTACTGGTATTGTTCCTGTTCTATTTGATTCCCATGACTTCTTTACCTAGTTAGCTAGTTGATGCATAGTCACGTGATTTATTCAGTAGTGCATATATTAAAGAACTATATATTTGTAATGGATGGACCATGAGGCATACTTAAGTGAAATAAGTCTGAATAAGGACCAGAATGATGGCACACAGGACAGGGCTCCATACTTGACACATGCATGCAGGGCACTGTGCTACATGTGCCATCTCCCTGATCCCAGATCCTCCAGGGATGGCACTGGTGACCCTCCTGAGAACTACTACGAACAGTCTTAGAGGTTTCTGAGAACATAAACCTGACTAGTCTGTTGAATTGAACTGTCTGGTGTGGTCCCAAGAAACCCTGAGCACTGTTAGGAAGGACATCCCCTTCAAAGAAAAAATAATCCCAAATCAGTAAACATGTAAAACAAGTCACTCAAAGACAACTGTCAATTTATTTCATTTGTATATGAAATCTAAAAGAAAAAATTAAGGATAAAACAAAATGTAAGTCAATGAAAGGGTAGAATGATGGTTGTCAGAGAAAGATTTTGTGATGGTGACGGAAAAGCTGGGGGTGGGAAGATTATTTATCTAGGTAGTTAGGAGGTACCTAACTTCAGATTCTACAATAAGCCCTGGGGACTCTCGTCAATAATACTACTGGCTTCTTATATGCTTTTTGTGTGTGATCCTAGAAATTTTTCTTCACCTTGGTAGCTGAAGTGCCCTTCTTGGCTGGAGCTAAATAAAGCAAGTCATTTTCTAACACTCTTAGAAACAGACTCATTGACTTTTTAAAACACTACACCAGACATCTGGCTTTCTCTCAAAAGCTTGAATTCGGTTCCATCAGAACCCTCTGTGAAGCTTTTATTAAATGGAACTTTTTAACTTTGTTCATCCAGAGCTTGGAAGGATAACTGTTTACTATAATTTTAATGTGTAATATCTTGTTTTTTTCCTGCCATTTCTATAACTGATTAATGATCTTTTAGAGCACACCTAATAAATCTTTAATGTGACATACTCTGTGTTAAAAACACAACTGAGGGTTATGACTTCCAACTAGATCTCTAATAAATAGTGCTTATCAATAGAAGAATGATGAAATAGTTTAGAGGTATACCTTGGGAATGACGAAACTATGAAAGAGAATTGATCTAAAATAATTTAGATCAAGTTGAAGGTGGGAGAGATAGTCTAGGGGGAACACAGCTGACCTGCACACGACTGACCACTGGTTATTTATCTCAGACACTACATACGGTTTCCTGAGCACTGCCAGAAGTGACCCTTTGAGGAAAAGTGGCAGAAGAGACCCTGCACACAGACAAATGTGAACCCGCATCCTCCCAGTTTAACAAATAGAAGATTGAGTATAAAAAGTAAAATGCAAAGAAGTATAGTGATTTGCAAAACAAAACAAAGCCAAACCTGACAGAACCTCTTAAAAAGAATATGTGCATATGTCTGTGTACATACATGCATGTGAACATAACTAATTTGTAGGCAAAGGTAGGTAGACATGTTCGTGAGTGTATTTACATGTGGTTGGAGGGAAGTACATACATGCATGTGAACATAACTAATTGTAGGCAAAGGTAGGTAGACATGTTCGTGAGTGTATTTACATGTGGTTGGAGGGAAGTGGGAAAGTGGAGTGTGAGAGGAAAAACAGTAGAGAGAAGATCAAGATAAGACCCAACATTTCCTTACAAAGTAAAAGAGAAGGTTGAATATCTGTATATGTAAAATTATAATGGATTTAATAATAAAACTATGCACTGTAGCACTGTCCTCCCATTGTTCATCGATTTGCTCAAGCAGGCACCAGTAACGTCTCCATTGTGAAACTTGTTATTACTGTTTTTGGCATATCGAATATGCCATGGGGAGCTTGCCAGGCTCTGTCGTGTGGGCGGGATACTCTCAGTAGCTTGCCAGGCTCTACGAGAGTGACAGAGGAATCAAACCCAGGTCAGCCACGTGCAAGGCAAACGCCCTACCCGCTGTGCTATCACTCCAGCTCATAAAACTATGATATGAGTAAAAAGTTGTAATTTTACTGGCAAGTGGTAATATCCAAAAAAAAATTTTTACCATAAAAATAGGTTAAGGATACCACTACTTCATAGAAAAAAAATCTCTAAAATTTGTATCTAAGATGAAAGAAAGTACAGAACTTTTATCAAGCATACAAGAAGACTCATATGTAGTATTCTAATGTGTATTTACAACACAACTTCTTTATGAACTCTTCTGTCATCAGTCACTTGGGCTGTTTTAGTAAGCACTGAAATGAAAATATGAGGGCATATGTTTCAAATTAATGCTTTTATATTTGGGAAATCAATGACCAGAAGTGCAATCACCAGGTCATATGGGAGTTGCATAACTGTAGAGAAATCTCCATAATGATTTCTATAGAGAATGAACCTAAACTGGTGAATATTTCCAGAAGTAGTGAATGAGAATTCCATTTTTAACCATATCCTTGGGAATCCTGTTTCCTGTATTTTTGATGTATGATGATCTCACTGGTATAGGATGATACCTCATTGTAAGGTATCATTTCATTTTGATTTAAATATCCCTGACAATAAGCCATAATAAACACTCTTTTTATACTTATTGGTTATCTACATGTCCTCCTTCTGGAAGTGTGTATTTATCAATTCTCCCCATTAATTGATGTAGTTATTGGTTTATTTATTAATGAGCTTTGTGAATGTTTTAAATACTTTGGATCTTAGTTCTTTATTTGATCTGTTGTATGCAAATATCATTTCCCATTTGGTAAGTTACCCTTTTAATAAATTCTGAATTTCATTTTTCCAGGCAAAATTTTTTAATTTGGTATAATCCCATTTTTAAAACCTATTTTTATCATTGTTATCAGTGGAATCAAGTAACAAAACATTTTTTGATAACCAGATATGTAGAGTTCTGTTTATATTAACTTAAATAAATTTTATGGCTTTCATTCCATTTTGAATTAACTTTTGAGGCATGTATACATTTATTATTTATTTTTTGCATGGGTTCCCAGTACCATTTGTTGAATAGGTTTTTCTTATTCCACTACATACATTCTACTACTTTGTCATTGATTCAACTGCACAAAGATCTGAGGGTTTCTCTTTGGGATTTCAATTGTACTTCATGGGTCTTACAGTCTATTGGTATTATTCCAGTACCATGCCATTTTATTATTTTATGAAAGGGACTTTTATGATTCTGGAGGATAATATTCTGAGTAAAATAAGCCAGAGGTAGAAAAACACATACTGACTGTTCTCACTCATCTGTGGTATACATATAGAAATAGAACAAGGCTAAGGACAATTATTAGTTGATAACAGACCTTCAGTACTGGACTGAGAATGTCAGGTTATTTGGGGAGTGGATACTGGAATTGATCACTTGGATAACACTAGGGCATTGATAGATGGTCTTGGGCATCAAAAAGTAGAGATAAAAAGTGGAAGCTCTGTATACTAAAACCATAAATGTCAACACCAGTATAAACATATAACCTAAAATATTAAATTATAAAAAAAGACATTAGAGGAGAGTTGTGAAGCAATAACTTTGGTTATGATACAATAACTTTATACATCACAACAAAAAGTGTTAATACTATTATATGTTACCTCAACTATAATTCAAAAATAAATAACTGCAAACAAAATTAAAAAGGGTTAAAACATTGGCTCACAAAAGGAAATTATTCGTGTATGATAAAAAATAGTAGGGTGACAAAATCAGCAATTTGAGTTTAATAATCACCACTATATTTTTTGTTTTTGTTTTTAGGATGTACCTGGTGGCACACAGGTCTTACTCCTGACTGTACTCAGGCCTCACTCCTGGTAGGGCTTGGAAAACCATATGAGATACCAGGGAGAAAACCTGAGGCAAGCACCCTTTGTACTATCTCTCTAGCCCCAGACATTCCATTTGTTCTATCTAACAAATGCTTTGAGAAATTTAAAGAACAAATCCTCAAACTTTTCATTGTCTGAGTACATACAGGCTCTGAATTTCCAGGCAGAAAAGCTACAGCTCAAGTTAGCTCCATCACTTGGTCATCATCTGTGCAATCTTGAGGACCTTACTGAATGTCTCTGTGCCTTTTCCTGCAATTGTAAAAAACTAAAAAAACCATAGTACTTACAACTATAATTATTATAAGAATCAAATGAGTTACTTTATCAAAACATTTTTTTCCTTTAAATTTTCTCAGGAGACTATATCAATGCAGTTCTTCAGTATCACAAGTTGCACAATTGAGTTTCACACATCGGGCCAAGTCTCCGGGGTTCAGCACATCCAGAGTGCAATGGACAAGTATCACTCTGGGAAAATCACACTCATAATCATGATATCTCCCCTGCCATGTAAATAATAGAGGTGAATATTAAAAATAAATTATTAATTTAATGTGTGGAGAAAATGTTTGGATAAGCCAAGTATCATTAAATGTCAGATCTCAGGTATGTCGTTTACAGTTTCTTTTTCTTTTTTTCCCCCACTATTCTTTGTGTCAGAGACTCTTCTGTGCCCAGAGGTGCTTTCTTTCGGGCTCAGGTAACCATACGGTTCAGGAATCGCACTAGGCCACCTGCATGCAAAGTGTCTACTCGGCTCATCAAACTATTATTTTGGTCCATCACTTTCTTTTCTACAGAAGAAGTAGATAGTAATGAGTGAAGTAACTCAGAGTGTGACTTGTGTCTACTAATACTCAATGAGTCTTAACATCATAAACCAATAAAAGTCAATTTTTATTTATTGCTTATGCTTCCAAAGTCATTTCCACCTTATTAACCTTCACAACAAGTTAGTTAATAGAGCAATCTTAGATTTATTATATATTCTCTCTCTGTACTTATTGGATGAAATCTTCCAGTTCAGTGGAATTAAGGATAAAAAACAGAATGAAGGTTTTTCAATATGCAACTCGTTCCCGGATCCGACTTTGAAACTTAACTACCGTCTCTTTATCTCAAATTACCTATGTGACATTTCTATATACATATTTAAAGCTACTCAAATTTACTTATCTAAATATGAGTTACCCTACTATAATAAAAGTCCCAAACAACTCAATTTATTTAAGACCTACCACACATAATTATATATGAGTCACCTGCATTGATGGAGAGCTAACATAAAATGGGCAAAGAATTCATTTGGTTGCTACCGTGTAGCCAAAACTGGAATCCTGGTGAATAAGTGTCATCTGAACAGATTCTATAGTTATGTCCACTCTTTCGGGTTACTAACCTGAACTCACAGCTTTCTTCAGTCCTCTCTGAAGATGTTTAAAATTAATGGTTTGGATGTGTTTTTCTAGAAGATCTAGTCTGGGTTCATGCTATTTGAAATCAGCGGAATGTTTCTATTCTAAAGATTTGGATAGTAGATAAATTCTACTCATGTTTCAGAAAAGGCTGGAAGATACCCATGATTCTTTAAATTTGCTTCAGTTAGTAGAGTCAACAGAAATATACCAAAGACATATTGTAATCGGATTCCAGCCCCTTAACACTAATGTCACTAATGTGAGGCTTTCTCAGTTGGTGATAGGAATTTCAACCAGAGAACTAACAGCATATTTGGATTCATTTCAACTATTTTTACAGACTAAAGCTGGGGGCTCATGGGCATAAATTTCTTGTCCACTCATATATAATCAGGTCTCAACATTCATTTAGTTTTTGGAAAGTTTTAATATTTTTATTAAGCATGTTTACATCATGCCTTTTCCTCATGGCGCTGGAAACATATTTTTTATGTGATAAAAGCTTTCTTAATTTGAAGAGTAATATATTATCAGCCACCTGGTACACTCATATTAGAAACCAAAACATGTCCAAAACGTCTTCATGTACTTAATAAAGAACTATTTTTCTTTCGTTCCAGATAACATTTTAAGGGATGCTGTATGCCGGGTGGTTAACACTCGGACTAACTCTTAAATTAACATTCAACTAAATTAGAGTTCTCACAAAAGTAAAACAGAACAGAAATTTGTTCTTCTGGATTTTTATGGAGGGAAATATCTCAGGTTATTAAGATAAAAACTAAATAAAATCAAACAGAAATAAAACAATAAGCAACAACAACCACATCTGTGTAACTGTGTGTGGTGGGGGGGAGGATAAAAAGCACTAATAAAACTTTGAAACTTAATATTTCAAAGTGAAAATTATTTCAAGGAACTGGAATGATAGTACCGTGTGTAGGGTACTTGGTGTGCATGCTGGCAGCCTCAGTTCAGTCCCTGGTATCCTTTATGGCCTCCTGAGTCCCGCTTGAAATTATTCCAGAGTGAAAGAGATGCAGGAGAAAGCTCTGAGCACAGTTGGGTGAGGCCTATACACCAGAAAAATTCCTTCAAGCTTCACTAATATTCAGTGACTTTAAGTCTATTAACTAATTTCTCTCTTTCTACCTAATTTCACAGCGGGTAGGGCGTTCGCCTTACAAGCGGCCAACATGGCCGACCCGAGTTCGATTCCTCTGCCCCTCTCGGAGAGCCCGGCAAGCTACTGAGAGTATTCGATATGCCAGACACAGTAACAACAAAGTCTCCAATGGAGACATTACTGGGCCTGCTCGAGCAAATCGACGATCAACGGGAGGGCCTGAAATAATAGTTATTGGATATACAATTATCAGCTGAATAGAACACATAAGGACAGTGTAAGAATAAACAGTATCTGAGTATTTGAATTTTATAGTTTGGATTTAATTTCTCTTTTTAAGAAGCAGAATAATGTAAATTTCTTTATCATGTCTTAAATTAGACATAAGTATTTGTTAATAACTCTGAAATATCTCCCAACACTTACAACATATAGAACTGTAAATAGATTTCACATCTTCCTTCATCTGAAACATTATATAAATTTCTTATAGAATTGTCTCATAGAGAATTTGAATCAGACCCTATTTATCCCACTGAAATACAAGGATGACTTCGAAAGATCATAAAAGATCACCATAGACAAGTTCACTGGACAAGCAACTATTCACAAATTATGGTGTTTCAGGAAAAAAGATTGTTATATGATAATATTCAATACAATGAAAAGGACAACGCTATTTTTTGACATTTATGTCTGGCCGAATGGTGGTAAGAATGATATAGCAGTCATTTCAAAGTACAAAGTACACTATATCCTTAGTAAATGAATAATAAGCTGAAATGTCATCAACTCAAAATTGTCCTGTGTTAAAAGTCTCAAAGAACACTATCTAGTATTTAACAACTAAAGTAGTTTAAAAGTAGTTTAAAAGATAATCAAGTAAAATTCACTATGACACTATGAAATGACATTCAGAATAAATTCACAGGAAGGAATAATTTTCTCTTAGAAAGCGTTCTCAGCTTTATTTAATCATTTAAATGACTTTTACGTGATGTTTTTCAGAGGTAATTTTCAATTCTCACTTTCATGCCAACATTAAATTATATTAAAATATGGGAACAATCGCCACTTTTAGACATTGGAAAATTATGTCCTATGTTAAATAAAGCTGCTTTTTCTTGGTATGGTGTAATATTATTCCCTCTCATATGTCATTCTCCCCATGAGGGGGGACACCTAAAGATAGCTAATGTAATCATAAACTATTAACTTTTCTTGATGCTTCCATGGTTTATTATTTATTTATACCAGTAAAAAAGCCCTAACATCATTACAAGCATACTACATCATTGAGTGAAACCTGATTCACAGAAATTAAAAGTGAGAAACTTGTAAACACATGTCATCTTAGAAGTTAGGTTTAGCCCTTGATGGCATATTAAAACACTATCAATCTTGATGACTGTCTCAGTCCACGTCCTCTACTTTCTTCTAAAGTCTTCACATATGGCACATGCATCTACCATTGTGTGTTTTGACCTATTTAGAGGACTTGTCTTACTGATGCTTGCAGAATGAGTAAAACTAATGGTGTAATTGATTGCAACTTGTTGCAATAACTGTAGTGCTACATCAGTATTTGCTTTGGTTCTCCAAGACCCAATTTACGCTTGATTAAAAAGTCAGGTGATATATTTTACTTAGTGGATATGTGCTGGAGTGATAGAACAGCGGTAGGGCATTTACCTTGCACGAAGCCAACATGGCCGACTTGAGTTCGATTCTTCCGCCCTTCTCGGAGAGCCCAGCAAGCTACTGAGAGGATCTCGCCCGCATGGCAGAGCCTGGCAAGCTACCCGTGACATATTCGATATGCCAAACACAGTAACAACAAAGTCTCACAATGGAGACGTTACTGGGCCCGCTCGAGAAAATCGATGACCAACGGGAGGACAATTTTAACGATTTAATTTAATTTTTTAAAAAGCAGATATGTATTTTTTTATTATTCTGTTCTTTCAATGTTCTTTATGGATGTTTTCTTGCATCTTGTCTTCAAGAACAATTTACTCAATAAATATGTAATAGTTTTTTTCTTATTTTGATCTTTTTATGTTCTTTATGGATGGTTTCTTGTATCTTGTCTTTAAGCATTCTGACACATTCCCTGGCTTCTACTGGTGGACTATCTGTTTCCTCTATTATGATTTTTAGTCCTTCCACTACATTCTTTTTTTTTTGTTTTGTTTTGTTTTTTGCTTTTTGGGTCAGACCCGACAATGCACAGGGGTTACTCCTGGCTCCGCGCTCAGGAATTACCCCCGGCGGTGCTCAGGGGACCATATGGGATGCTGGGAATTGAACCCAGGTCGGCTGCATGCAAGGCAAATGCCCTACCCGCTGTGCTATTGCTCCAGCCCCCTTCCACTACATTCTTAAGCTCAGTGACTTCTTCTAGATTCCTTTGTCCTGGAGCTGAAGAGATGAACAGTGGAGTTTGACTGATTATGATAATTGATATGCTGTCTTTTAAAGACAATTTATTTTTCTTTGCCAAAGCTCTATATTTGTGAACTTGTTTTTCTTGTCAATGGATTCTAAGTCCTAAAGACACAGTGAAGTCAATATCATGGAATGTTTTCCCTATTTTATGGATTAGGATCTAACATCTAAGTCTTTAATCTCTTTTGAGTTAACCTTTAGTTCATGGCATGAGATAGTGAGCCAATTTAGTTATTTTATATGTGGCTAACCAGTTTTCGCAATACCATTTGATGAACACTTTTTTCTTCATTCTTATGTTCCTGACATGAATTAACTATGAATTATCTATGGTTTTATTTCTGTGTCTCAGTTGTCTTACATTGGGCTAAATGCTTACTTTTATTCCAACAGCTTTATTCGTCATGCTTTTTATTTTTCAAGCACACTTTTTATTGCTGTTGACTTACAGTGTGAAGCAGGGAAATACTTCCTATCTTCCCTTTTCTCAAATTGCTTTGAAGTTGTAGCACTGTAACACTGTCCT